AGCGAGCGACATATTTTCGAGAGAAGGCATGCTACTGCTTTCCATTTCGTTGTCTCCGGGAGTGGAGCACTTTACTCGGCTCACTCGCCGGTAATTTAACGTGAACTAAGCGCCACGGTTGTCTTTTTCATGTACCACCGGCCGTTGAAATCGTACTTCTAATTTATACCTTACTAATTTATGCCACATATTTTCGAAAGAAGGTATTTGCAAATCCCGCGCTACTGGCTAGTTGCATGGGGTAAATAACAATCCGAGCGCACCTTCAACGCTATCCATAATAAAGAACGCTATTGTATTTTATCGGCAAGATTCTGTGGAAATGTATCGGTTGCAATAAAAATCATACAATCTTTCCACCTTTATGAAAATTAGTATTCTGTCGAAGGTGCTCTATGCCACCTTTACCCTAAGTTAAAAAAGGTAGTTGTTCTTAAATGTATCAGGAAACTTTATTTTTTAGTCTCGCGTGATAACTTATATCGCTCTGTGTATTGATGGCAAAAAAATGCATTCTGATTGATAAACTTTTTGTTGAAAATAAATGTAATAATTAGTTAGAGTTGTATCTACATAAAACACGAAGTGCGTAGAACTGTCCGCCCAAAGATTGGAAGTATATAGTTAATTTCAGTTTTCCATAGTAACCTTTATGATATTTGCGATGGTCTTGGTAAAACATAAGAATATATAGGAATATTAAGAACAAGTCTCTGTAAGAATCAAACATCTTGGGAAATGAAAATTTTCAACGCCCTTCAAATTTTGCATGCAGTTAGGCACTCAGGGGGATGCGCAAAATCGCCCTTTTTAAAGGTCGCTGCACTCTTGTTGCTATGGTAACAACGGCTGCTTGTTCGAGGCCTAGGGCCTCATTTTCTTACAAAAACGTCGCAAAAAAAGAGTGAAATGTTTATTTCTCTATCTCAAGCTGAATACAACATTACAAATTGGCACTAATATCATACATAGTGACATCATTCGTCTTCACTTTGATTCATTCAATTTTCCCTGGGAATGAATGTGAAACACCAATAGTTTATTCATCTCGGTAAAGTTTCGGTCATTTTGTTGTAGTGTAAAACAGGGAAAATGTTTATCTGAATTTCTCCAAAAGTAAACCGATTCTGGAACTGAAACTACCCACCTAGCTGGTTATAATATTCTAGTTTTTAAATATGTAAAAATCTCTGCGGGCCTGCCTCTACTTTTTATAGGGGCAATTCGCGAAAAAAGCTCAAAATCAGATATTGCATAATTTGGCGATGTTTACATCTAATGTTCTCGACAACAAATGTTTCAAACAAAAGAAACGTGCGAGGCTTTGTAAGAATGTTATCTTACGAGCAATATCCCTAAGAGAAATCTCGCCTCTAGTTGTCATCTTTTGAAAAAAAAATTGATCAACCTTAAAGGAGGATTACTCGACGTAACTACAAACATATACCTCAAATCGTGTGCATATCATCCAGATTCTGAGTGCTGCACCTTCTTTCACGGGAATTTGAGCGATCTGAAGTTTTCTGAAGATACACTGATATACTTGTATGTCATTTGAAACATGTTGAAGTCGGCTGATCTACACGAAAGTATCCTCACACCGGTCATTTGTCGTAAACATGTCCGCCTTAAAGACTTAAGAAAAATTGACTTATTTCCTGTTGCCCCGTACTATCCTAAACAAGGCCATTGTGTCAAAGGTTATCTATCGTTTTCCCCATTGTTTTAATTTTTGGTAACAAAGAACTTTATGAACAATGAAGTATAGAGGTATATGGAAATCTTGCTTAATTTCCACATAGCAATGGCTAATATTCTATATAGACTCTGTGAGACAGCATTAGAAAGTAAAAGTACAAAGTTATGGCTAAAAGAACCTGGTGGGCTAGTGTCCATGGAACCCTCAATAGCGTGTGATTCCTAGGACTGCCACATAATAAACAATTCGTTATCAACAACTGTTTGTTTTTCAATGCTCAACTTTCAGTTGTTAACAATTAAGGAGTCCTCTTTTCTGAAAAAGGACATGGTTGCCGAGGTTTTGAGCAGTTTTTTTCTGTCTATCTCTTGTTCACTGCAAGATATGTGTTATCTTGTCAACAACACATACTCAGTCTAGTCTGTGCGGTGGGTGCACTGGACTGAAGTAGTAGTCAATGACATTTGCTGTCAATATTAAGTAGTTTTTGAAAAATTAATGTCTTATTGAAAGAGGCAATTTAGTTTGTCTCTAGGATAGCCTTAGATAATTTAAACTGAGGGATTCAGGGTGAAAGTTGGTGAAAACATTTACAGCAAAATGTTTAAAATTGACATAGTTATACAACAAATCACTATTATTATTATTATTATTATTATTATTCCTCTTTATTACATAATCAATAGTTTTTTAGTTGTCTTTTGAGGGAAAGAAAAAATCATTTCGTAGTTCAGATGCACTTGTCGAGAAGAAGCAGCTGAGTAAATTTAATAAAAAAAAAAACCAGTGTTTCCTTATCAAAACAGAACATCCACTCACACATACTCAAGGAGTTCTAGATTTTTATAGGGCTGTGTGCAATGGGATTCAAACATTAAAAGATGGGTTTATACGCGTCTCAGTCGCACAGTAAACTTGTTTTTCGAATCTTTTGATCCTTTAGAGAAGGGTTATATTTCTCAGCTTAACCACTGACAGGAATCTTATACAATGTCTTAGCCAAAAATCTAGAAAATATTAGTCAACCTGTCTAGTTGACTCATACCTAGTTACCAGGATTTTCACAAGGAATTCAGTGAGCACGACGTGTTTCACAAGGTCCAGAGGAGCTCAGTTTGAACACATTAATTTCTTTTTAAAACTGAATTCTTACCCTATTAATCCTTATCGCTTCACGAAGTTAATAAGCCCAGTACCGAATCTTTGTGAATCCTTTAGCAACAGATTTCCGGCTCCATGCATGAATCGAAAGCAACTTTAACTTTAAAAGGCGTGTTATAAAATTGGCACGGTCACTGAGTTGTTTCATACAAGGTTGCGAGCAAGATCCTAACACGTTCCTTTGCTTCTCCCATGCGCAGCAAGACAATGGTTGCGAAGTTAATGAGGCAAGTAACTAACACGCAGCTAACGTGTTAAAAGCTAGTTCTTTTGTCTTAGCGTGCGAACGTACATGATGTGCGTGCGTTCACCTTATTCCCTGAAATCCCGTGGAGTGTCACATATCTTCTGTTGTAGTTTGGACACTATTGCATCCTGAGTTCATCCACAAAAGGATTTTTTTGGTCTAGTGTGATAATTTCTTTGATATCTGGGACACTTTTTGTAGGTAATGATATAATTGTATGTTGACTGTTATATCAGTTAACTGAAACTTGTGTTCTTTAGGTAATGGCTTCTATTAATCATAACTCGACACCTGATTTGATAAAAAAGAAAGTTGTGGTCTTAAGAGAGAAGGATGTTCCCAACAATGAAGAAGCAGTTGTAGTGTTCATGCCAAGTTCAAGAGAGTTACGAGAAATAAAGCAAGATCCAAAGCTGAGTAAAGAAATCCCATTTACCAAGAGCATGACATCAGAAGATATAAAAGAAGTGCTAAATAATGCCTTCCCTGTTCTTGCTAACACTGAAAGGTATTATTTTAAAGAGTAAATCAACTTAAATAATTGAATCTTGTCTGATGAAAAACTTGACATTTAAACTGTAATTTTGTCAAATTCAAATTTGAAAGAATAGCAAATTTTTTCAAGTGCCTTGAATTCTTATTTATAACTTTTGAAGTAATTGTTAAACAAGTCTGTGATTCCAACATGGATGATTTTGAGGTTGTAAAGAGTAAAAATTTTTCATTTGCTCTCCATATTTTTCCTTTGAGTGAAATTATTGAAGCCCTTGTTTACCATGTTTACTTGCATGTCTAACTGACAATACACATGGTTGTTCCAAAATATTTTTTTCCTTCCCATTTAATTGTGTTGATTATGACATTTTCAGTCTTACAAAAGGTGTAGTGGATCAAAGACTGGGCCATATATATTATTGTGCTTTCATGTTAGTGGGCCATGTCTGTGTAATATGTGGATAGGCCTTGAAACATCAAGAACAGAATCCTTAGTTGTCTTTAATCTTTGTTACCAACTTTTATTTGCAGATTTTTTTTGTGCAAAAGCAGTTCGAAATTGGCACAGATTTTTTTGTGGAAGAGCAGCTCGAAATCCGAACAGACTCGACTTCTGTGGAGAGCGGCGTATTTGGAGTGGGGAAGTCCTCAACCGAGAGATAAAGGGAAACAGTGTGTTGTACATCTACTATGAGGTTTGTTTTATTGATCAGTCCGATATGAAACAATGTTTAAGAACATTAATTCGCTTTATCTTTCATGCACTTGGTTGGTTGATGTCATCTTGACATCAAATACCTTATGTAGCAATCTGAGACTGGAAGAACAACCCCTATTCATGACAACCTTCATTTGATTGCTTTAATTTTAGAAAACACCACACAGAACACTTAGAAGTATTGTAATAATAGTAATAATAATAATAATAATACATAATATTTTTATTCACAATTTAAGACTACGAAATACAATCGATAAAATGAATATACGAAATTTCATAAAAATTCAAAATCATGTATAGTACAAAAGCACTTAGCTTGAAAATTGTCCTAAAAAATAAAATAAAAAAAAATAGAAAAAAAACTTTACGACGTTTATTTTGTAGTCTAAGGAGTATTCTATCTCGCTGTGAAAAGGCGTTCGTGAACCTCTCACGCATGCGCGTACCGATCGTAAAAGTTCGAAAGAGATCTGTGTCCTGAGCATTGCGATAACGGTGTTATACGGCTCGGTGTCCTTCTGAGCTATCTTATCTGCAAGATACTTCAGAAAACGCTGACACTCATTTCCCATTCCGCCATTGATTCCAAACACTAAAGGTGTGAATGAACCCATCTCGGCATCTAGCACCCGCTGCTGTTACTTGCGTTTCTTCTCGTCCTCTTGCTCTTTGAATACCTAAGATGTTGTCTTGTTCTGATAACACTTGGGGTTAACGTGCGTAACCCTTACATCAAAAAATGCCGAAACTCCTCTTGACCAGAAACCTCCCGCCTTGATGTCTAATCTTGCCTCAGAGCTTGTGACGGCACTTCTCAAATGTAGCCGTTCGTTGTCGAGGGGTTGAAGGCGTGGTTCAATTTCCACATTGTTGCAGACCTTATTGATGAATGCCGTTAATAAATTACGGACACCATCATGTCTCTGCGCTTCAAAGCCTCACTTTTTACATGAGAGGGCATGGTCTACAGTAAATTTATCTCCACAAACACATAGACTTGTCAGATCGACTAGAGGCAAATTATACCGTAAGCGTTGCGAGTCTTTGAACTCCTGCCTACTAAGGGCTAAGCCCTGATCTGCGAGAGGCATCGCATTTAAACAAGAACTTGTGCCCTTGTCTCTCGATTGATTAACTAGTCGTAGCAGATCTGGGGAAAGAGTTGTTTTCCGTTTTCTCTTTGTCACGCGCCCTCTTAAGTGACTGATGATGTCTCTTAAGCTCCTCCGTAGGGCTTTCGCCTGATGCCATAAATGTAGTCTGCGATGTGATAGAATCTACGTGCGCAGTAGTTATTGACTTCGAGGCAGCAAAGTGTTGTGGCGCCTCAGCTCTCAAATCTGGCATGCTCAGACCCCTTTGAGCCGTTGTTAAGGTGACAAGTAAACGTACCTTGTTAGGGAGAGGCTCTGATTGACCGAACAAAGTCGGAAGAAGTAGGTCGTCAATCGCCTCCTGGATTGGATCGACATAATCCTCAAACGAATCTATAGTGCACATGAAGTAGGTGAACTTTGACTTGTACCCTTTTGTGAAGGCAATGTACGCTGTGTGTGGCTGACTCTGCAATTTCGGAAAGGCGTTCGATTTCCTCTTTCCATATGAGAATTTTCTCCTCACAATACTGATCTTTGTATTCTTGCGACGCAATGACTGCTCCTAGATGGCGCTGACCTTCAGTTGTTATATTGACTTTATCTCCAAACACCCTCTTTGCTTCATCTGCAAGTACCTCAGACCTAACAATCAGCTAGCTCTTTGACTTGTTCACGAGATATCCAAACTTTTCTCCTTCTTTACTCAATTGCTTGTACCAGTCCTACAACTGGGCGACTCTCCCTCCTTCAGCAGAGTCGTATGTAAGCCACACCTGTTTAACGATCGGGCAGTGCGCCCTAAGATTCTCAATCATTATATATGTATTGACTGAGTTCCATGGCGTCGCCAGGGGATACCCCTGCGTAGTGCCTTCTTGTGAAAGTACTTCACCTCCACCACAGATAAACAGTCTAGATGGGCTTCTATAGGTGCTTATTATATAGAGCGCCATTTCTTGGCACACGATCTGGATATTGTGCAAAGCCGCTGACCTGTTCATTTGGTTAAAGGCGTTACTTGCATCGATCAACAGAATCCTATCTGTTCCTTCTTCTTCAAACACTTGGCTCATTGCATGTACCGCAGGCTCCGCTCCTGCATTATGATCAGCACAAACTTGTAGGAGACCTGCTGCTTCTTTTATTTCCTCCTCTAAGAAACCACTGACCGTTTTTCCCACTATTCGCCTTAGGACCTCTCTAACACCAATTGAGGACCTCTCTAACACCAATTGGTCTGATTCCAGGGTTCTTGTCGAGCGGGATGAGCTTGCAAGATGTAAAGGCTTCGAGTAAAGATGGATGGTACGATTTCTTAAGCAGATTTCTCGTGAAGACAGCTATCTCTTCTCTTAGGATTTTACCCTCAGTCTTAAAGTTCTTAGAGCACAGGATTCTCCTATAAGTCCATTCCCGATGGCCCTGCTGAGCTTTGCTGTAAATCATTTCTTCGTCTACGAGATCATACACGTTTGGTGGTGTATAATCAACTATACTGTGCAACAAACTCTCTTCTGCAATATCAGCCGCCTCAAGTAGTCCTCGCAGGACGTCTGGTGTTAGGTCGAGCAGGCCAGACGAGCTCTCGTTATCAAGGAGTTTCATTGCAGCTGACAATTTTCCTTGCAGAACCAGTTTTGAAAAAAAACTTTGGATACGTCCTCGACCGTCCTAGCTTTCTTAGAGTTTACAAATTACCCCTGTATAAACCACACCTCTTTAAGCAATAAATCAAGGTCCCTTCGTTTCCAGAGAGCTAATCGACATTCTATTGTTGCGCTGTGTTCCTTGCTTTTAGAAGTAGCGGACGTTTTTTAAAGGATCAAAGTTGGGAGCACCATGAATGCTTTCAAGGCAACTGAGTTCAAATCAGAATCTGTATTGAACTGCTTAATCCGGAATAATAATAATAATAATCGCAAATTTACAGAAACTAAGTTATAGAATAAATAATGAAATATTGCAGATCCCTGATTTAAAACCCTGAGGATTGATAGGTGCTAATTAAAGTGACTGCGAAGAATTTTCTTCTTCATGATTTTTTTAGTTAACACAGTTTTGAACGGGCAATTGCATTTGTATTGACAGTCATTCAAAGATTTTACTAACAAAAAAATTTCATTGAATTGTGAGCTATTTATACTTTACAGGAAGAATATATTGAGCCGAATCTCTCCCCTATATCTGAAATGAGAGAAGAGGATTTCCTTGGAAATGTGAGTACTGGTTTTCCTAGTCACTTCACAGGAGGATGTTTTACTTTGAAAATGTACTTGTCTAGATTTACTCAGCTACTTGTAAATGTTCCACTGGAGATAGAGATCTACCCTCGTTGCAGTGTTCAAAAATTAAGAGCAATACAAATTGAAAACTTCTTACCTCCACCTTACAGTTTCCTGTATTTTTCCAGAAGTTTTAAAAGCAATTTTGTTGAGCCTTTCTTTCCAAATACGTAAACATCCCAAAAGGATGAGAAGTGTTCCATATTTCCTGGTGGCTTTGAGTAACTAAGTAAATTTTAGGGGAATTTTTCAGCCTTCTCATGGAGAAAGCTATTTTTGTGCTTTCCCTCCTTTAGTTCAATTTAGAATGTAAAGTATGCATGATATCCACGTTTATTTCATATTTTTAACTCTAGCACCTAGTATTTACTGGGCCAGCAATAGTGACTTTATTTCATACTATGCTGAATATGTTGAATTTTGTTTCTTTACCAAGGAACCGAACAACCGTTGTATCTCAGGTTTTGAAGAAACATGCAACATTCCTCAAGGTGACGATAGCATTTTTTCTATAATTTTTTATCAAATTTTACTCAGGAAATAAGGTCATTTTCTGAGTTTTGGTAGAACTTTGAATGTCACTCCTTTTCTCGCTCCTTCCATCACTTCCTGTTAACTTAAGTTAAGTGAATCCACTGACCAGCATATAGGGGTTTCGTAGCCTCTGTGTGCTCTCGATGGTCAGTTAGTTCAATGGAAATAGAATAAGAGATATGGTTAGTTTTGAGCTTGGTAAAGAAATAAAGAAATATGTTTTCTGTCTTGTCACAAGCTCGGGACAAAGAAAAAATTCTGAGTCTCCACGAGGAATCAAACCTCAGAACTTTGGATTCTGCTCTCTGATGCTCTACCACTGACCCACAGAGACTCTATGCTGAGTGAGGTCTATCATGAAGAAGTCTATCCTGAAGTTCCTTTCTTGATTCCTTATGGGGACTCAGTATTATTTCTTTGTCCCACGCTCCAGACAAGACAAAGACATCTTTCTCTAGTTCAATGGAAATTTTAAAGGGGGCAGCTGTTTGCAGCTCTACACAGGTTTGAAAATTCTTTTAATATATATATGTATCCAGGGTCTTCTCTTACTTACATCTGATAACATGATAACAAATCCCTATCAGTTTTCTGCCTTGGAACAAAAAGAAAACAGTTTATGCGAACACAAGTGTTTTTGACTGATTGCATTTTAAGATATGAGGCAGTGAATTCAATGAGTTTTCTTTTAACTCAGAAAGGCACTGGATCATTTTCATCCGCAAAAATGACCGATCTAGCCACCGATGTTTATATGAGATAGCTGAATTTAATCAATAAGCCAAAAACTTTAACTGTTCCCTCGGTTCTTGTTTCACATCCGATCATAAATAATTGAAGCAATTCACAGTGCTGGCTTTGTGCCTGAACACCCCATTTTGCACTACAGTTCTAGAAAGAACTCAAAAAATAATTCCCCAGCACTCAATCCAGTGACCAATTGATTCCAACGAACTTGTATCCGTTGCACACCTCATCACTCTTCACAATATTGTCTGGGTTATGTAGCTCACAGATCGGGTTTGAATCCGTGAATGTCATTTTGAACTCAATAAGCCGACTATAAGGAAGTTTTGAGCCGCTTTAAGTGTATGATGATTTTGCCTGCCTCAAAGCAACGCCTGATTGACCACACAGTCTCTCTACTAGAAGCTTCATACTGTATAAAGCTGTTAATAACAGGAATGTTCGCCGAGCTGTCTTACATTTTTTCAAAGTTAAAGTGAAACAAAAACGGCATTGAAATATGTTTAGAACTGTGAACTGCATCATATCGTTTTTACGCGAAAACAGATGTTTTCTTGGATGCCTTCCTTTTACTTTCAAAATAGACCCTGTGCTTCGAGTGTGATTTTTGTACATGGATACGTTCGCTTTTGCGATCGGGTGAATAAACTGCAATGATTAAGTTAGTTCCTCTTTTGATCTCTTTTTGGTTATTTTATCGTTTCCTTTCACTTACTGCAATAGACAAAAGAAACATTATTCACTTTGCTCATGTATTCATGAGTCTCTTCGTCTTAGCCAGAGGAACATTAAATTTCCTCTTTCGTCTCAAATTGAGTTCACAGTTGTTCTGAGGAGGCAGGAGCTTATACAGTTTATGGTCTGAGTTACAGGTGATGGAATCAAAAAGCTTAGTTGTGATAGACTGCCTGCGTTGGGAGAGCGTCTCCAAGTTGACTTGATTTAATACGTCGCTATATAGAACAAACGGAAAAATATTTCGCATGGCACGTTTCTGTAACTGTTCTAACTCAACAGATAAATATGCAGGAAGCGCGTTGTGAAACACCGGGCATGCGTATTCCAATACTAGGCGGAGATCTAATCTACTCTAGTCGCTAGTGACACCGTCGTAAATATCTATGGCTGTTGGCAGTTGCCGTCACAGTTGTACAAACCAGTGCATGGCAAATTAGCCCTTAAGCACTTGCATCGTCCTTTACATAAGGCTCTGCATCCACATCGAATGAGTTCGTGACAAGATTCCTTTGCTTGTGGTAGAGCTGTCCAGAAAGGTGACTATGAATTGTTGAGCTGTTGCCACCCCCAATCTGATGGGCTCGGAAGCACTAGCTGACCAAGGAGGGTTTGGCCCCATACGCAGCCTCCTTGGAACACTGCTCTTTTGACGTGCTGCTCAAGTGAGGCTTTAGTAGGAGGGATGCTGTCTAAGCTTCTAGACCTCTTTAAATAAATAGCTTTTGCGGCGTCTCGTTTACTTTCTTGAGGCTGCTTGTAAGGTCATATAGAAGTACAACAAACCTCTCAAGCACAACCATGCCTCCCCCTGTGATCTCTTGTGGTGATGCTTTGAGGTCTTTTACCACTGGTGTCATTTGAGGAAACACTTTCTTCACACCCTAAGCCGTTTTTTTTTCCACGTCCTCCAAAAATCGAAACAGTATCACACTTAGTCAGCGCACGGTATATTAAGGACCTAGGGACATTTCTATGGCAAGTGCAGGGATATTCTGTAAATTCTTTCCAGATCCTTGGGTTATCCAGAGTTCATCTGTGGGAAGAGTGCTAGCCACTGAAATAGCAAGTACAACAATATCTGTAATATTGTATCTAATTCTAATTCGTCGATGTCTGCTTGAGGCTGCATCAGCTGCATTAAAGTGAGTATCTGCAGTTTCATGTGTGCAAGGTGCAAGTAAGGTCATCTCCGTTGTTTCCGTACTTGTTAGGATACTTTCGCCATAGGTAGAGTAGATGGTCTTACCCACGGGAACCTTTAGTGAAACCACCTTCAATAAAATGAATATAAATATTTGTGATAAAACCATGTATAGTACGGCGTTTGAAGTCTGTTAAGAAAGACACAATGCTGTTAAAGAAGAAGACAATACCAGGTACATACCTTGTTCGCCATGAGTTTGAAAAGTTCGTCCTTATTATCATTGACACGCAGAAAGCCTTTCAAGTCAGCAGGAATTCTTCTTGATGCTTGTACTTTGCGCCTTTGTTCAGAGCCTTTCTTTTCTCGCAATGATCTCTTCAGTGAATTATCCTGATAGACATCATGGACTCAGTCGTGCGTTATACAACCTCTCAAGAAGAATAATCTTCCCACTTTCACGTCGACGAACTAGAAAACCGTTTCAAGAGACTAGGCGAAAGTGAAAGTTTTGAAGGAGGACTATGCTTTATTTTTTCGGCTTTACATAACGTGTCAAATTCCTGATGGAAACTTCATCAAGTGTGAGAACCAAGCATGGCCGCCATCACTTTTGCAGCTTGGCCAGCTTATAGGAGGACAGAAGGCGAACTGTGTCACTAACGACTTGAGAAAATTCACTAAGAATTAGGCATTACATCAATCGTTTGTTGAATTTTGGTTAGAAAGGAGAGTATTTTAGGATTTCACCCAAAGCGCCGTTCAGAGAAGTGTAGCTGAACAATTTACCACAGGCATCCCAAATCTGCTAACCAAAGTTTATTTATAACAAGTGGTTAATAATACTAAAAGTAACGGAAGAGAATGTCAAATCAAGCAAAGATATAAGCTTTATGTTTCTAAGATAAACAAGTTTTACCAACCGTGATTCAGAAAGTAATATAAACAGGTATATTCAACGTTTTAACCACAGGCAACTCAAACATTATGGTAAATATGAAAGAGGATAGTCACGTAATGGCATAAGATGAATACGAATGGATAGAAAATGACTCGGTTGTTATGTTTGAAGGTTTTTGTTGCAAATTTCCACAAGCAATGACGTTTAAGAGGATTTTTTTAAAATTCTTAGCCTCGCTTTCATGTTAGCGAATTTCTGGTATGCGTGGTTCTTGTCTCCAGAAGTTAGTTTGGATTGGCCCTATATTAGAAAATGTTAGTCTTAGGGTCATAAGTGCTGTGGCAAAGTTTCATGCTTTTATCATTAATTTGAACAATTTTGGTCGATAACTGCTAGATTACACCTTTACCTTAAGTTTAAAAATGGTAGTTGTTCTTAAATGTATCAGGAAACCTTTTTTTTCAGTCTCGTGTAATTACCTTTTCTTTTGAATATGATTGTAACAATTATTCAGAGTTGCATCTACATAAAACACGAAGTATGTACAACTGTCCGCCCGGAGATTGGAAGCAGATGTTTTTTTCAGTTTTCCATAGTAACCTTTATATTAGTTGCGATGGTCTTAGTAAAAGATATAAGAATATATAAGAATATTAATGAGCATAAGCTTTCCGTGCGGCCAAGCAGGAACAAAAGGAAGAAAGCAAATAGAGTCTGAATGTTTCACTTGTAAATACGACAAATGAAGGTCGAAAGAAAGACTGAAGTAATCTCAAAACTAAAAGTATAAGTATCTAAAAATTATCTAACTAACCTAACTAACTAATCTAATACTAAAAGTGTAATATCAAGTTAAACTGAGAGCGACAAATAAGCTGAATTGAAAATAACTAGATTTTTATCAAAAAAAAACATTTAATGTGGTTTTCAATCAATTTGTTATTTATCGGGCGGGAGGTCCTAATGGAAAAAGACCTGTACTCCAGATCAAAGGCACAACTTTTTACCCAGACGGACCCAAATCGGTAAATGACGTATTTCTTTCTTTCTGTTGCTTTGCGCTATTCAGCTTTTCTGCGAATGACGCGGAAAAAATTCCAGAACGTGGTTCGCACATGATAAAAGACTGAAACGGGTACAAATAACGAGCGCGCGATTAGCCAATCACATTCGACGATGTAGGATTCTGGCCCACTTAGATGCTTCAGAAAAAAATAGAAAAAAGTTATCAACCCCTGCTAGCTAGAACACTCTCACACAGGAATTGGACTAGCGGCATGAGTAAGAAACGTTTCCCCTCTTGTTTGAATAGAGTGCCTACGACATGAAAGTTTCAGTTTCAGAAGGCACAGGTCTGAGTGCATGCTTCCTCATCTTATATCCTATTGTTGGACACTACTGATCATTTAGGGTAATAATTATTCTCTGTGGCACCTTCTGGTTGTTACTCCGAAAGTCGCTCTGAAGACCTGCATGAATTTGCTGATGCTCGAATCAAATACTACCATTCCTTTTTGAAATTTATCATTTACCCACTAATATCTGTCTCACCTGCATCGATACCTATCTAGTGCTTTCCAGGCATCAATTTTTGCACCTTTTCTTTTTCAAATGTGCCAGCTATCAAAGATTTCTTTGTCTATACTAAAACGGAAGACAGCGTCGACGGATCGTTCTGATTGGCGACTCAAACTCAAAATATCCTTTGGTATTCACCTCCGAGCAACTTGCGCGGGATTCAGTTGCACCCGAAAATATGTTAATCGTTGCAGGAACAAATGTGTTACAATCATCTTTTTTTGTTATATTATCTCAATGTTTAAGAACGTAAACTAAAACTACTATTCACCTCTGAGACAGTTGCTAGTAGTGGATGTTTAAAAATATCCACCATTAGCTACCTCTATTTTGGTGAATATTTGTTATTTATGCAAAGGTAGGATTGCTTTTAAGCTTAATGGAAAAGTATGACTGTATGTCATCACATCTTAGCCAAAGGTTTCAAGATGTTGTTCAGCAAAGATCGATAAAACACTCAGAAACACGACTAACTATATAACCTTTGTCCTTAATTGTTTTGAAAGCCTATCTCCTACCCATAAATAGTTTCAGTCAACAATCAATTAATTTTGATCCTCGGTTGTTTTCGAGCAACTTGTTGAATTGCTAACACGTTTATACTTTTTAAGGGACATTTTCAATTTTAGGATCAATTAAATGAAACAGGAGCAAGTTTTTTGGTTGTGTTAGAAAAACAAACTCCCCAAAAAGTTCACAAAAGTTTATCCAGATTATCACTCTTAACTTGTCCAAACTGTATTATTGGTTGGAGCTCCTTAAGTCGTGTCGTATGTGAAAAGAAAGGAAAAGATTTGGACGGTTTCATAAGCGAAACCAAGTTACCTTATTATTACTATAACGAGCAACTTCTGAGTAACCTTTTGATCGTTTACTGGAAATCTGCAGAGAACCATACACAAGCACGGATTAGCCCTATATGGCGAACCTGACATTTTAGATCACATTGTAAGGTTTTGGTGGGGTACCTTTCCATTTAGCAATGAATTATGGCTACGTCATGTGCAATCCTACAATCCTACGTAAATGCTTTTCCGTTAACATTAATAATACTTTTGTTAATCTCTCCTTAGTGTTACCTGAGCTGAGTACAAAAATGACATTGCCGCCGTTTACCAAAGAGCAAGTGAATTATTTAAAATTTGCCCACATTGTAGTAAATGAGTTCCCCAAGGCTCTACGGCAAATTTTCAAATACCTGTGGGACACCACCTATGGCCACAGACCTGATTATCGGTTTTGGGATGATTCTGAGGAAGTACGTAAAATGTTTCTCCATAAAGAAGGTGGCACCACAAAAGTGCACACAGACCTTTCGTATACTGAATGGAACTGTTCCGACCTGTTTCGTGCCACTATTTTTTCTCAGTCATTCTCTGAAGAGGACAGTACGGGTATGAAGACGACACTGAGTGTAAAGTATTCAACGCATCGTCTATTAGTCGAGGATGAACCCCTTACATCCATTTTAAAATCCAGTACCAGTGTTGTTGAAACATTTACAATAGCGATTAATCAACTGCGACTTCTAAGAAAAAAACTTCTTCGCCTACCTATAGCCGAAATTGACACAAAAACATTTGAATCATACATAAAACTTTCTGAGAAGGCATTTAGTATCCTTAACGTTCCAACAGCATCGATTAGGGCCATTAGCAGTTGCTCAGACGACGATTTTCCAACGGAGAGAGCACGCAAGATTAAAGAGGACATGCGGCCGGAACTTAAGTTACTCAAGGAAGAAGTGCCAGAAAGCATTGAAAAAGTTATGGACATGGGGGACCACCAAGACAGGAGGATGGAAGAAATTGAACGATTGTTGGAAAGAATGATGGCAACTTTAGAGGAAAGAGAGGAAGTGCCTCACGAGCTTGTTAAACTCATCGAATCAGGTAGGAGATTCCTAATAGAGTCATTTTGGATTCTAAGTGGATATTAAATGATATTAATAAAAAATTGTCTCATTTAGCCCCTAAATTGGGCATATCTCTCCAAGAAATTGATTATCCTTTGTTATTGGAGTGCAAAGAGGGTAGAGAGGGGGTATGCAGTCACCTTGCCTCCAGGAAGACTCGCCACCAGAGTGTAATCGATCTCGCCACAGCTCGCAAAAATTTGATTCACATACGTTTGCTTGACCTCTAACTAGTTGCTCGTTGTTGTTGCTCGTTCTTGTGATCTTTCAAAATACTCGTTTTGTCGACAAAAAAATGCATGCGATCGATAACATTTCTTGTCGATCTTGCTGTTCGTTTGATTATAATGTTACAGTCATGATCTCTTTGGTTTTTTGAATCGACTTTCTAAATATTTACAGGTAGGACTTCGTCCTACCTAAAAACTTTGGTTTACTTTTCCTTTGTTGAACATTCTAAATATTTACAGGTAGGACTTCGTCGATCGATAGTCTGTTTGATATCTTCCCCGATCAGATCAAATTGGTGGCTTATCAATCATTACACGCATTTGACTCACCTTCCGCCATCTTGGAAAAACTATTGAGCTTTTCACTGCCCCTTTTCGTTTGCTAGCTAGCAATGCTGGTCATTTATTTGGAGGTATTGAATACCTGTGTAGACCTAGTTTAGCCCAAAAGTAGAGCCCGACGTAGTTCATTTTGCCATGCGGTCGGACCTGTGGAACCACTCATTTACCAAAGGTGCTAACACAGGTTTAATGATTGATAAGTTATATTCCTTCATTTTCTGCTTGTACTACCATATTGAGTGTAAGTTTATTCATCTGTGAAAATATTTATTAGGTTCAGGAAGGTTTT